ATGTATATAGTTGGCAACCGAAAATGACCAAATTATAGTTATTATAACTACAGAGGGTAGAAATTACCATTAAAAAACGATTTAAACAATCATAATTATATTCTATCATAATTATATATCATAATTATATGAGTCATAACGGCTCATTGTAATATTTATAAAGAATATGTGTCTTAATATTCTCAATTACTTGGACAAAAATGCAATAGCACAAATTTTATGTCACAATTTAATGAAATTTTTAATTACACTGTACGTGTAAATTGTTCGATACACCATAAATGAAATAAATAACGCATACTATCGCAGTTGTTTTAAAATCGTATAATTAAAAAACACAGTTTTTGAATCTGATAAAAATCGTGTTAAGACTAAGTACAGATCTTAAATCTTTAAGCTAATATCATTTTATTTGTTCATGTACAGATAAGGTAAATTTATCGACATTAAACGAGTCTATCTGAGCACCGGAAATATTATATGACGCGCAGTTACATTTCATCTCAACTTCAATTAACATCAATACTTTTATCGTTGCGTCATTTTCAAATCAATTTGCGAAATGTGAAAAATTTTGTAACGTGAAATACGATCCTAAATCACGTCGCTTGTAAGATTGTTATTTAAGATATAATAAGGAAATCTTTGATAGTGCAATTAATGTTATAAAATTGTACAGTTTGATGAATACTAAGAATTCCGGAATTAAATATCTTTGCATTTATTGAAAAAATATTTTGAGAAGTGTATGATCGAAAATTTTTTCAATTTAAATAAACATACATCACAGATATAGTTGTAAGGTACGAAACTTATTCTGCAAAAGAGTAAAAATAACAATAATGGAAGATAAAAACCAAAGCGAGGTACTCACAATAAAAGATCCAACAAAAATAATAAAGTCTAACGAACCAACCAACGTCGCACCATTAAAATTGAAAGTGTATAAAAAGAGGTGGCTAATGCTAATCATCTACATGATTTATTCTGGAGTAAATACTTCTCAATGGATAGAATACTCGATTATAACTAACGTAGTTACTAGGTATCATATTTTCTTCAAAATATGAACAATTTTGAACGAAAAAGTTTCAATGCCCTTTTTTGTATTATTTAGATATTATGGAGTGTCTTCGATGATGGTTGATTGGACCTCGATGTTGTACATGGCACTTTACGCGACGTTTATATTTCCAGCGTCGTACGTGACAGACAAATGTGGTCTGCGGTGGACCACCATCATAGGTGCCAGTATTAACTGTCTGGGTGCCTGGATAAAAACGTTTTCCATTCAATCCGACCGATTTTACATTGTTTTCATTGGCCAATCGATAGTCGCACTCGCGCAGGTTACATCTCCTAATTAACTTTATTAATCTCTAAAAATATTGATATCGTTGTAACTTTTTCCCCTCCTCCTTTATGTTACTCTATATTCTCTGCCATATTTATTTAAAAAGTAATAATTAGTTTATTCTATATTAGACTATGGTCTTGCCGTTACCAGGACGCTTGGCCGCGCAATGGTTTCCTCCTACGCAACTTTCGACAGCCACATCTTTGGGTATTTTTGGCACTCAATTGGGAATAGCGTTGGGTTTTCTTTTAGGGCCTATAATAGTGAAAAATCACAACAATCTGGATGACATCGGAAAAGATTTAACACGTTTATGCTGGATGATCGCAATCGTCAGCACAATTGTACTCGCTCTTGTGCTTACATGTAAATTTAACATCTATTACTAATAGAACAAGTAGTAGTTTGCCAGTATACGTGATTAATTCTCATATAAAATGGAAGAGATCTGAGCTATATGAAAAATGTTTTTCTAGTTTCTTTATATTCTCCCACATATAGGAAATCATTCTTTAACTTAATAAAATAGTGAAGAACTAAAATTATGCTTGTATTGCATATATTAATATAAAATTAATATTTTTGTGTACGCTATGTTAACTTTGGTAGAGATTTGAATGTGTCTTTTAGACAATGATTTATGAGTGATGTTAAACCGAAGTAATTTCCTATAAATATTAATTAAATCTTACAAGTATTTAAAAAACTGTCCTTCTATCCAAAATTATATCTCAAAATTTGGTAAAACTGTATTTTAGGTGTATTTATGCCGTTCCCCATTTAATTCTTGTGGGAATCACTCAGAATATTCTCCCCTACAACATATCTAAATGCAGATTTACCCAAATTTTTAACGTAGTTAAATTTTCTGATACAACTGATAACCATTTTAATCTCGGTCCCTTTATTCGCGTTTTTACATTTATTTTTCTCAGCTGCGAAGTGAATACAAGTTAAATGTAACGTACCTGTGAATTTTAACTTTCAATTCAATAATA